GTGGATGCCATTGAAATGGGGTTATAACAATACATACATGTAGATCACTTGCCCGATAGCACGGTCAAAATAAGAGTTATTGCCCTTTAATTGTGCTCATGGATAAAACATCAAGAGTTATCTTTCTTAATCAATAATATGTACAAAGTATAAACACTCTGGAATTAATAGATAAAACAATAAGATCAAATTATATTGAACTCTTCCAGAATAATATAATTATATGGACAATATTCAAAATATATATACATCATACCTATATGTGATATAAAGCCATTCTCCAAATATACAATATGATGAGTGAAATCTTACTCAGTGATCTGCACATAAATAAAACACAACTTTACTGTATTGCTCTCAAAAATATACAATACACTGATATATGAAATCATTACTTTTCATTATTTACAAATTCATAAAATAATCACAAATACTGAATCTTCATACTTCATACAGAAGAATATTTTGATTGATATCACTGCATTTTAAATTTCAGAATTTCACTTTTTCACAGGGTTTTTGGCAAAAATTTTCCCTCTGCAGGGAAGGTGTGTCTTACATGTTAGGCATGCGCACTCCTCCCTATATATTTTTGTTTTTCATTTTCTCTTTTTAATGTTATTTTTTCTCTCTCCTCTCTCTTTTCTTCTTCTTCTCCTCCTTTTTCTATCCTATATTAAAACAACTTTCACATGTGTTTAATTAAATGTGAACTTGTGTATGTGCATGTCCTTTTGTAAATTTAATACTTGTATACGCTATCAATAATAGATACTCGAAGGAAGATATATTTATGAACATACTTTTGTATATATTTGTTTGATATAAATGTGAAAGTTAAAATAAAATTAAGAAAAAAAAAGTCTTATTGACACCTAAATGACATGCCATAGGTGTTTCATGATCTTGACGATAAGCAGCTGGTACAACTATCTGGTAAACAACACGCCACGCTTCATCTGGGGAAGCGTCAGGTGGTCGCCATTTTCAGCAAAAGGAGGCCATCTTTCATGTAGAAGCATTTTCTAACTTTTTCGACCTCTTTTGGTGGAAGTGCTCTCTTTCTAAGTTGGATGATATCTGGGTCTTTAAGATACCTTTTATTGTATACCAATAACTTTGACCTTGTAGATTTTTGTACTTGTGAAAAACTTTAACCTTGCCCATGACTTGTGCTCTTTTTTTTTTAATTTTTAGAGCAGGCAAGATGTAAAGCAACAAATCATAATGAATTGATAGTGTTTCAAACTTAAGGATGACTTTTTTTTTCTTGTCCTTTTTTGCACAATGTAAGACTCATTTTTGATAATTGGACACCTGGGACGTATCAGAACTGGAATCCTAACGATGAAGGCCTCCTTCTGACATATCATAACGACTGTAGGTGGAGCTGGGTGACTGAGAGAAACTACGCATACTATACAGGAGAAGATGGACTAAAACGCTCCGTTATTTGTGAGGATTCGTCATTTCTTTGGAGCTAGAAACGTGTTCTGTTACATAATAAATCTTTTTCTTGTAATTTAAATAAACATTTGCAACCATTATCGTTTTATATAATTTCATGAAGCATAGTGTAAGAAGTTTTAAATCATTAAATGGAGTCTTCTTAAGTATACGCCGTATATTTGTCCCCTCGAAAGAGATCTAGATCCACCATGACACTCCTCTCAACATACGTACAAACATTTTACTCCTCTCATCATATACATACAAACATTTTAGCACAAAGTGTTTTTTTTTTATCAAGTGCTATCCGTAATCCAAAAAAAAAAATGGGAAATAATGTTTGCTGTGACGGGCAGTCAAACCGACTGTTTGTGATTTTTTCCCCTGATTTATTTGTAAGTGGGGAAATCAATGAGCCCTGACTACAGCCTTTAATTGATTATGGATTTCATATTCCACAGGTGTATATAATATGAAAGGACCTATCCTTGGTCTTATCTTTTTTTATTGTGACTTTCATTTTGGAATTTAAGCCTTTGTCAAATGAGCTATGGCTTCAATATATCTCTGGTGCATTCCACGTGTAAAACTTTTTCTTAAGGTCATGTATTTTTGGCATTTTGACTGATGTTTATGTTTGACAAATTTTTAAAGACATTTTTTTTTAAATTAATCTTAGCCGTAACTTTTAAACGGTTAAATCAAGTGATATCATACTCCTCAGTAATACTTTGACCTTGAACTGATAGATTAAACCCACTTTTTAAAAAAATGTTAACTTTGACCGTACTTCCTGAATTATTATTGCTAGGGGATTACTATTTTACTGGTTTATTTCTTGTCGTTAAACCTTCGTAATACTCTGGAATACCAAATACCGGTATATACTTTTTTTTTTATTTTGTATGCTTTTATTTGGACCTCTGACTTTGACCTTCATTTGAAAAACTTCAGTACTTAGTCAGAACTTGGGAATGTTTGATTCCGTGTTTTTTTATCTTTTACTTGTGCATCTTTGTGAAATTTTTTAGGACATCATTATTATTGACTCTTTGACCTCGTCCAGTTTGACCTACATTTGAAAATCTCCAACTTCATTCATAATTGAACTGTTGCTGCTTTTGTGGTTTTTATTTCTCGAAGGTGGACTTTTTTTGGTACCAAAACACCTTTAATATTTACTTTGGTGTTTGACCTGCAAACGACAACATTCATCATAAGCCCTTTTGTTTCACAAACTCATCTTGAATTGTAATCATTAGCTCCTAAAACTTTTTCTTTTGATTTAATAACAAATTTCAAGCTGTAGTCTATCAATTTTTTGGATATATATAAACCATTGTCTTTACATTCCATAATCAAAAATGACTCATAATTATAAATGTATTTCCAAACATATTGATTAATGTTATCTCGCTAAGTTTTATTTGCAGAGACAGCTGCAAATTTAAGATAACATCTTTAAAAAAATGTTTTTAACTTATTTGAATAACTCTTACCCAAATAGCAATAAATTTAAATGATCTCGAATATTGCTTTTAACGTTTGTGACGTCAGATTAAAACGCATATTAAAAACGTAACCTTTAAACACCGATTTGTGTTTTGAAAAAAAAAAAACAAAAAGTTAGACTATCGGTATAAGTCTACTACAACGTATATTGTGCATTCAAGAAAGGAAAGATCTATTTCTTTTTAATGATTATTTGTAGCAATAGAAGATATTGATCTTCAGAAAATGTTAATTATTTCTACTTTAAGCTCATAATCTAGTATCAGTGGGAATCTAGTATCATTGCGTTCTTGTCACACCTAACAATCAAGCTATCTAAATATATTAATGGTATGATTAGATTTGTTGAAAGAAATATTCAGTACGCCTCACTTCAACATTTTAGCTTATTTTCTACATGATATTAAAAAAAACAATAATTTTAATTTAAGCAGTTTCAAGTAGATTAATGGATAATTAAATGCTCATTCATTAAAATACTCCATGGATGGAAAAAGATGGGGATATGTTTTATAGAGGTATAATCTTAGATGTATTGTACCACAAAACATCTTAACATCTTTATTACAATGAAACTTGTCTTATCCGACATGCACGGGGAACAGATTTATGTGTCGGAATAAACAAAGTGTATAGTAGTATTGCAGCGTGTAAAGATCATTGATATAAGTATGAATTACAAATGAAATTAAATGGCTGAAATAACAGCAAAGAGTATTGTATGTGTAGCATTAAACAGCTTCCACTGAAACAATAAAGTAATCTTTATCCTAATTCTCCGTCCAGTTATCTCCATTTATCAGTGTTTGGAAAAAAGAACAAAATATTTCTAATTTCAAATTTATTACAACACGTGTAAAGTACATCTTTTAAGGTAATTCCACACTCCTATGATGTCATAGGTTTTTGCAAAATCTGTATTTAGTTTAAATTCACACCTTATAGAAAAATATTTCTTGGAAGAATGCTTTACAATAGGTGTAATGATAAATGTTGTTTAGTTAAAGAATTCAAAAAATGCATATTTTCTATATTTAATCAATTATTCAATCTTTAAATAATGTTTACAAGGGCAATAACTCCTTCTAAGGTCTCTTCATTCAGGCATTTGCTTTTCTGTAAAATAGTTTACCTGATATTCACAATTCAAAAGTATCTTTTAAATAGGAAGTACTTAGGAACACTCAGCATCAGAATTATGCATATTAACCAGTTTTTACATGTTTTTCTCAATAATTTTAACAAAGAATGTACAATTTTTTGATGTCGATATACACTTCTGTTTATTTATGTTTTGCATCTTAAATAATATGGTGACCTATACATTTTTTGCAATAAATGGAAAGTTTAAAGTATATTGAATAAAAATATATGCAGTTTTTGTACTTTGAACCTATAAAATTGTGAGTGTGGAAATTCCTTAATGAATACATCAAGTACCGCTTTACAGAAGAGTTCAATCCCCTTCCTTACCGAAAACATATCCGATTACATGTTTATTACTTGATGTTAAATATTTAAAAAAAAAGAACTCAGCGATGGAAATTAATTTAAAATCTTCTCGTGAGGGTTTGCGTTATCCATGGATGATCTTTTGTCTGTTAGAAAATAAATTTATACTTCAAAGATAAATTTATAATAACATTTTTTTTCTCTTAAAAAAACTTTTATAACTTTTCACAGTAATACAAAAAGAAAAAAAACTGTTATATTAAGATTTAATGATGTTTACCTAGTGACGTTTTACCATCATGGTGGTCCCCTTCACTGATGTCCCGTACATTACGGTACGATACCATAGCCAGTCCCAGGAGTTCGAGGACCATGGACCGTTAAGGAAGGCGTGGTGACAGGAGTTAAACCACCAGCCTCCTCTATTGTGAACAGCACAGTTATTAATAGACCTGTCGTTATCTCTGTCCTTGGTGGTGAATGGCATTCCAGACAGATCGTGGCCGCTTGTCATGCTGTCTCCTGAAATAAAATAGTAATATGTTTTACGGTGTGACCGTTGGGGCAAGCGCAGTTTATTTACTATCATTAACCTACACATGTACTGTATATCATTCTCGAAAAAGAAAGCAAAAAGATAAAAAAACAAAACAATAAAAAGAAATCATTTCCCAAGCATCGGGATCGAGATTCCAAACTTCTCGGAAGTTTCCGACAAAATCGGAAATACCCGAACCGCTAAAGTGACGAAAGTATGACGTCAGATAAAAAGTTATGTTGACTTAGGGCGCAACAATCTAATTAAAATTAGATGTTAGATCCGCTCACATACTAGCTACACTAACATCTAACAACATCCCATAGGGTGTAACGTCAGAGGTAAAACTCGGAACAACTCTAGACTTATTCGCTTCGATAACATCAACAAAATATCCGATGATTTTGCCAGCGACAATTTGATTGGTTGATAAATTTTGACCTCTGACGTGACCCTCTATGGGATGTTGTTAGATGTTGGTGTAGCGAGTATGCGAGCGGATCCAACATCTAATTTTAAATAGATTGAGGGCGCAAACGCTAGTTTTATAGAAAAGAGATTGCATTAAATCATTCTTTTCAAGTAAGCTGTTGCTATGTTTTAGCCACCATGTCGCTATCCACCGCAACATGTTTTCCGAGTTTCACGGAAGCAACCGACATATCTTCGTCAAAATTGGTAAGTTTCCGGTGACGTCATTTGTATCATTTCCGAAGGGCAAGGTGAAGGCCGGTCTTGTGGCATGGGGGTATTTTTTGGAATAAGGTAAGGTAAAATCATTTCGTTAAGATTTTGGTAAGAAACAATGTCCTTTAATTATACCCGCACTTTCTTAAGAAAGTTCGGGTATATTGTTGTTACTCATGTCCGTCCGTCCGTCCGTCTGTCACACTTTTCTTCCCTGAACTCCTCTTACATTTTACACAGTAGCCTAATCATCTTTTGGGAGATGGTTGGTGGTGTCATGTAGATGTGCAGTAAGGTTTCAGAATTTTGATTTTGCCCCGGGGGGTCAAATGGGGGTCGAAAAATGACGGTTTGTTATGCAAAAAGTCCCGTCTTCCCTGAACTCCTTTTACATTTTACTCAGCAGCTTAATCACCTTTTGGGGGATGATTGGTGGTGTCATGTAGATGTGCAATAAGGTTTCAGAATTTTGATTTTGCCCCGGGGGGTCAAATGGGGGTCGAAAAATGACGTTTTTTATGCAAAAATTCCCGTCTTCCCTGAACTCCTCTTACATTTTACACAGTTACCTAATCATCTTTTAGGAGATCTTTGGTGGTGTCATGTAGATGTGCAGTAAGGTTTCAGAATTTAGATTTTGCCCCGGGGGGTCAAATGGGGGTCGAAAAATGACGTTTTTTTATGCAAAAAGCCCCGTCTTCCGTGATCTCCTCTTACATTTTACTCAGCAGCCTAATCATCTTTTGGGAGATGGTTAGTCGGGTCATGTAGATGTGCAGTAAGGTTACGGAATTTTGATTTTGCCCCAGGGGGTCAAATGGGGGTCGAAAAATAACTTTTTTTAGCAAAAAGCCCTGTCTTCCCTGAACTCCTCTTACATTTTACTCAACAGCCTAATCATCTTTTGGGAGATGGTTCGTGGGGTCATGTAGATGTGCAGTAAGGTTTCGATATTTTAATTTTGCCCCGGGGGGTGAAATGTAGGTCGAAAAATTATGTTTTTTATGCAAAAAGCCCCGTTTTCTCTGAACTCCTCTTACATTTTACTCAGCAGCCTAATCACCTTTTGGGAGATGGTTGGTGGTGTCCTGTAGATGTGCAGTAAGGTTTCGGAATTTTGATTTTGCCCCGGGGGGTCAAATAGGGTTCAAAAAATGATGTTTTTATGCAAAAAGCCCCGTCTTCCCTGAAATTCTCCTACATTTTACACAGTAGCCTAATCATCTTTTGGGAGATGGTTGGTGGTGTCATGTAGATGTGCAGTAAGTTTTCGTAATTTTGATTTTTTCCACGGGGGTCAAATGGGGGCGGAAAAATGACGTTTTTGTGCAAAAGTCCTGTCTTTCCTGAAGTCCTTCTTAATGTTACTCAGAAGCCTTTTAGGAGAGTTAAATATTTTGAAAATTATGTAAAACATATGTGAAACACCTTGAATTTTTATAAGTAATTAATGTACATGTCAAATGTGAGAGTCATATCTCATCTCAATCAAAAGTTATAAGCAAATGCAACATTGTTGAAAAGTAGGTTAGGCTTCAAGGTCAAGGTCACAGAGTAAAAGTCATGATTCATTTGGAAAGATCTTATCACAGGTAAAAATATACATGCATTATAATATGAATGCCCTAACTTTTCTCTTACAAAATGATGAATTTATAGCAATTTAATTTTTTTGCAAGTAGGTCAAACTTCTAGGTCATATGTAAAAAAAAACCATGCCATTCTCGCAGGTAAATACTAGTACATAAGTTTAATATGAATGCCTTCTCCCTTTCCCATTCAGTAGATATTACTGTGATGACCCAGGTTAATTTTATTCAGACAGAAGGACAGTCTGACATACAAATGTACATATTTTTATATGAATTGTATGGGTAAAATTGGACCAGTGGTTCTGGAGAAGTAAAAAATGTAAAAAAATTTCAGGCAAACAGATGGACGACATGTCACGACAGACGTTATATGATAAGGAAACCAGAAAAGCTCAAATGAGTGTTTTGAAAGGGTTACAATATGGTTGCAGTATTTGAAGAGCTTTTTTTTTTTTCATGCAGAGATATGCATGACCAACATATTCATGTTTTATATTTTCTTTAGTAATTTGTTTGTTTGTTGTGAATACATCTCTCTCGGGAATTTTTCCCTCATATGGAGACACCACCAAATAATAATGAAGACAAGATGTGTTTGTGAAACACTGATGTCCCTGTATGGAAGCCTATTGCGAAGGTTGAAGTTTCTCAAATATATGTCAAACTCAAAAGTCAAGGTCAAAGGGTTCAAAGTGTTGGTATCAGAAAAAAGTCTTGTCACAAGGAATGCACATGTGAAATAAGAAATCCCTAGTACTTCCTGTTCAAAAGTTAATTGCTAAGGTTATATAATTTTTTAAGTGGTTCAAACTCTACGGTCAAGGTCAAACATATTTATACTTGTTGACAGTTCACAATGAATACGCATTAAAGCCCTAGCACCTACTGATCAAAATTAAGGCTAAGTTTAAAGTTGGGTATTTTTCTTGTAAAAATGTGTATTCTAGGTCAAGTGATCAGAGGTAAAAATTAATGTTACCCAAATAAAAGGTCTTAATTGTCACAAGAAATAAACCTATAAAATGCGGAAGCCATTTGTATAGCCCATCCCTTAAAACTTATGGGCAAGGTTATAATTTCTGCAGACAAATAGACAGACATAATTCTAGAGCCGAGCTCGTTGCAAAGCAACGAGTAGGTCTTCCGTCCTGTTTGACCGAGAGAAACTTTCATTTGAAAAAAAAAGAGTAATGAAGTCGAAAAATGGTTTAATCCTCCAAATCTATGTTCATTTTTGCAAAATCAAGCTATTTTTGGCAACTTCCCGTTTGACCGGAAGTACCGTCGACGGACGGAAAATTAAGATTTAAGCTTCCAGTGACATATGCTATCCAAAAACCTGTCAAGAACAACAAAAATATGCAATTTTTAACTACTTCCGGTTTGACCGGAAGTGACGTCCCCGGACATATTTTGACAACCTCATTAAATAAACCTTGACATTTTGGACAACTTTGCTTTTTTGACGTATTATAAATTCTAAATACTTTTCGAGATATTAAACAAAAACTTTCAAGGGTCCTAGATCCCTAATTTTAGGGGCCAGACCCTTTTTAATGATATCAAATGAAAGCGCTTGTAATTATGCCAAACTTTTATTCTACATGTCTTAACAAAATATTTTTAGTTTTCAAGATAGAAAGGAAAATATCTGTAAATTTTCGCTCTTTAAGGCGTTCTAATTTTTGACCCCTATATAGCGCCATTTGAATGCAGAAATCGAAAAACAAAAACCGATGTGCACAACTTCAATCCTTCTGTTATCTAAAACAAGTAAAATTTCTGCTCCAGCTTTTGTGATCTCTGAGCCTTTATCCGGAAACGAAAGCTTATGATTTTTTGTTTAAAGGGGAATAACTCAAAACCGGAAGTGACTTTTTGAAATTTCAGTCATCATTCTGATAGAGTTTATAAACATCTATAACCTCTGAAAAATTGAGCGAAATCTGTTGAGAAATGAGTAAGATATGAGGCCTCAAAGTTGGCGTCTAGGAAGTAGAAGAAAAAAAAAGAATAATAATCACTAGAGCTGAGCTCGTTGCAAAGCAACGAGTAGGTCCTCCATCCGGTTCTGACCGGAAATGCCGGAAGTGACGGAACTAAAGAAAGCAATGAGATAAGAAGTCTCCAGTGACTTTATAATTTCAATTTTGCATCAAAACCTTAAAAATTAGCCATTTTTGCTAATTCCGGTTTGACCGGAAGTGACAACGACGGACGGAAAAATACTTTTTATGCTCCCAGAGAGATATGTGACCCAAAAACTTGTATAAAACGGCAAAAAGAACGTGTTTTATGACTACTTCCGGTTTTGCCGGAAATGACGACGCCAGACGTATTTTGTCTCCCTCAGTAAATTGAGCTTGACATTTTGAACAACTTTGCTTTTTTGATGTATTACAAATTCTCAATGCTTTTTGAGTAATAAAGGAAAAACGTTTGACCCCTCTAGGCCCTTAATTTTAGGGCCAGCCCTTTTTTCGAGATATCATTTGAAAGATCTTGGGATTCTACACTTCTTTTGTTATATATGTTTTAACAAAATATTTCCAGGTAAAAAGATTGCGTGGAATAGATGTCAAAAATTTTGAAATTCGCGAAAGGACAATTTTTGGGCCACAGCCAGCGCCGACGTGCGACACTTCCAAAAAAAACGAAATCATTTTCGCATATCTACAGACTTAAGACTATCATACCGGAAAATTTCACGTTTCTATCTATAGCCATTTCTGAGAACGTTCGCGGACAACCTGACCCTTCAAAATTCGCAAATCAACAATATCTCCAAACCGGAAGTGACGTCATCAAATCGAAAAATAATGCATAAAGTTCAAGTAATGTTACATTAGTCCCGAAAGTTTCGTTGAAATCCATCAAGCCGTTTTTGAGAAATCGCGTGCACAAAATCGGTAAGAAAAAAAATAATAATAACTAGAGCAAAGCTCGTTGCAAAGCAACGAGTAGGTCTTCCGTCCAGTTTTGACCGGAAGCGCCAAAAGTGACATAAAAAAAGAAAGCAATGAGCTAAGTCGTCTCCACTCACTTTATAATTTCAATTTTGCATCAAAAACCTTTAAGATAACCCCTCATTTTAGTGGCCAGCCCCTTTTGCAATATATCATTTGAAAGATCTTGGAATTCTACACTTCTTTTGTTCTATATGTTTTAACAAAATGTTTCCAGGTAAAAAGATATCGTAGAAAAGGTGTTCAAAAATTTGAAATTCGCGATATGACTATTTTCGGGCCATAGCGAGCGCCGACGTACGTCACTTCCGATAAAAATTAACTACGTTATACATATCTATAGACTTTGGTCTATCATACCTAAAAGTTTCATGTTTCTATTTTTAGCCATTATTGAGAAAGTCTGGAGACAACATGACCCTTAAAAAATCATAAAATCGACAATATCTCCAAACTGGAAGTGACGTCATCAAATCGGAAAAAAATGCATGAGGTTCAAGTAATGCTATATAAGTCCTGAAAGTTTCCTGGAAATCCATCGAGCCGTTTTCGAAAGATCGCGTGCACAAAATCGGTAAGATAAAAAAAGAATAATAATAACTAGAGCAAAGCTCGTTGCAAAGCAACGAGTAGGTCTTCCCTCCAGTTTTGACCGGAAGCGCCAAAAGTGACATAAAAAAAGAAAGCAATGAGCTAAGTCGTCTCCAATCACTTTATAATTTCAATTTTGCATCAAAACCTTTAAAATAAGCCATGTTTGGCTACTTCCTGTTTGACCGGAAGTGACGCCGACGGACGGAAAATTAATTTTTATGCTCCCAGAGACATATGTTATCCAAAAACATGTCAAGAACGGCAAAAATATGCGTTTTCCAACTACTTCCGGTTTGGCCGGAAGTGACGACGCCGGACGTATTTTGACGTCTTCACTAGATAAAGCTTGACATTTTAAACAATTTTGCTTCTTTGACGTATTAAAAATTCTCAATACTTTTTGAGATATAAGGAAAATACTTTCGGCCCCTCTTGGCCCCTCATTTTAGTGGCCAGCCCCTTTTGCAATATATAATTTGAAAGATCTTGGAATTCTACACTTCTTTTGTTCTATATGTTTTAACAAAATGTTTCCAGGTAAAAAGATATCGTAGAAAAGGTGTTCAAAAATTTGAAATTCGCGATATGACTATTTTCGGGCCATAGCGAGCGCCGACGTACGTCACTTCCGATAAAAATTAACTACGTTATACATATCTATAGACTTTGTTCTATCATACCTGAAATTTTCATGTTTCTATCTTACGCCATTATTGAGAAAGTCTGGAGACAACATGACCCTTAAAAAATCATAAAATCGACAATATCTCCAAACTGGAAGTGACGTCATCAAATCGGAAAAAAAAGCATGAGGTTCAAGTAATGCTATATAAGTCCTGAAAGTTTCATGGAAATCCATCGAGCCGTTTTTGAGAAATCGCGTGCACAAAATCGGTAAGAAAAAAAAGAATAATAATAATAAAAGTGAAAAAGAAACCTAAGAATAACAAGAAGGTCTTCCGCTGAAGACGGAAGACCTTAATAATAAAAGTGAAAAAGAAACCTAAGAATAACAAGAAGGTCTTCCGCTGAAGACGGAAGACCTTAATTACCAACAGAATCAGTAGAAGGTCTTCCGTTGGAAACGGAAGACCTTAATAAACACAGGAAACAAAATATGTACATAATTAGTCAAATGGAAAAAAATATCTACTATTTAATTGGAATCACAAAATAGATTGTTATTTCAGGGATAGAGAGTGGGTAGAGAGGTTAGACCCCCCTCTCTGGAATTTCCTTTGTTATTTAAACAAGACTATATACTGAAGCAAATAAAAAATGACTTCGAACATCCTCCCCCTAACTTAGAAAACTTCGACCCCACAATCATTGTTTTTATTTTGTTTACATGTATTTGTTTTCAGTTTATGAGTTTTTTTCTCCTGCTTGTAAGGAAATTCTAGGCATGAATTTTTTGACTGAGATGTGAACCCCCCTCTCTACTCCCGAAAAAAAATTTTGGATCCGCACCAGTATTGGCAGTAACTGAATGTCACATCGACAAGGGGAGATAACTTCACAATATGATATTCGTCTAGTGTGGCATGCGATGATCTTTGACCCTTTTTGAACGTTAACCTAATCGTTTGGGTTTATTTTACCCCCCACTATACCTTAACTTGTACTTACCGACCTCCATGTGCTATAAGAAAATGTCCATTGAAAAGATGGTTGCCCCCCCCCCCCCCCACTTTTTACCACAGCATATACAAAGCAAGGAAATATGGGGAAAAAAATTGGAAGTGAAAGTAAGTTTGCCTTGAAAAAAAGGTGCCCACTACCCCCCCCCCCCCCCCCCCCCATTTCATTTTTTTTCCTTGTTAATTTTTTTAGTTAATTAAAAAAAATTCACAGGTTGCCCCCCCCCCCCCCACTTTCAAAAACGATGCTACGTGCCTGAATTATATAGAATTATTTTGACTTTTTCCTTGGTAAGCCGCCCGTAGGATTGTGTATTTAGAGACAAACACCTTAGTGTGGGCATTACTGTCTCATGAAAGCATCTAGTTGTTTTACTATTTTTGATTTATTCGCGCAAAGGACATTGGTTATTGCAGGAATTCTGGGAATGGTGCACAGAGAAATTTGGCAGACGAATGTACAGATTTTAATCCGAATTTCCTCTGTTCATACACGTTAGTCTATTGAGCTCGCTGCACTCGCTATAACAATATATAAATAGACACAACATACATCTACAGTCCATCTATCGAAAAAGTTCCCTCACAGTTCAAAGACCTTGAGTACCGAGCAAAGGACAAAATTTGTAGCCCTCCACCGGCAGGTGGTGGCGTCTCCACATGAATGAAAAATTCTTGAGAGAGACGTTAAACAACATAAAATCAATCAATCGATATAAACATCGATATTCACGAATTACCTGCCCGCCCCCTATTATTACCTAATAATAGAGCTGAATTTCAGAGAAAGAGTTGTCTTTCTGTCACAAGAAATTAATCTCTCTCTCTCTCTTTCTCCTATTTGATTGTCATTCATTTTTTTTTACCATTTATCATTTCCGTTTACCTACCCAGGGTCCCAGTAGCTGGTCCGCCAAGAAAAAGTCGGTATTTGTTGGTTTCGTCAGCAACAGAGAACTGGCTGTATAATTCATAGAGCTTTGTGCCATTGGTCAGTGTCAGGGTGACGTAGAGGGAGGTGTTGCTTCTCTTAGTAAGTTGATGTATAACGTCATTTCCTTAAATATTCTATCGTCGATTAATATAAAGAATTCATAAAGCAAAACATATTTATTTCAAGTTGTCATACAACTCAACATATGATTATGAAGGTATGCAGAAATTTCTAATTGTGTAGTGCATGCGGCAATTAACGTACATGTTTTGAAATCAAAGTAGGTAAATCGTTATATATTGTATTTTACTTAAATTGTTATTAATTTCATTTTAACTGCTAGATTAAATGCTAATTTAAACTGTTAATGATCAGAAGAATTAGCATCCCCTAAAACAGCATAAAATATTACACAGTTATAGATGGGTACAATGTAAATAGCAAATTAATGGTTCCCCGAGGGAGAGGAATGTTTCTACATCTGGACCCTATGTCCTCTGTAGTCATTCTATAACTGTATATAGTTTACCTATCCAGTAGGATCCGCTAGGATGCCCGAATCCCGTCTTGTAGTCGGACCACGTTCTGTCGAATGACACCGAACCACTGACACGTTTCTGTAAAGCCTGAGTTTTTATGAAGAAAAGGAGGTTATTTTTATTTATTTATTATTTTTTGGGGGATAGTTTATTTTTACTTTCACACAAATTATACAAATATAAAAACAGACGTATATGTAAATAAATATACAAGACAGTTTGAAATAAAGCAACAACAAAAAAAGTAATAAAAGCTAGTGTCAACGTTTATGTAGAGAGAAAGAGAAGGAGAGGAAGATTGAGAGAGCGAGAATGTCAGAGAGAGAAAGATGTGGGACACACACTTTCTTGAATAAGTAACAGTAAGAAAAATTTTAAAGTATATCAACTATTCCCTGCCAATTTCTTTCAAATTCATCATAATCTCAAAACTTGCGTATTATATTAATCCCAACAACTACTAGTATTTAAAGTAGAAAAAAAAAATTGTTATCAAATTGATAATACAGTAAAAATCGGTTATAACGAAGTCACAGGAACCTATGACACAGGAATTACTTCGCTATATCCGTAATTCGTTATAACCATATAAGAAATTCATTAAATTTATATAGTTGGAGATCCAAGATGACTACGCTATATCCGTAAATTCGCAATATCCGTGTTCGTACTAAACGAGTTTTGCTATATTATATATTTTTTTTCTACTTTGTAATTAAAAAAATATTTAATTCGGAATTTCATTATCTTCCTATAAAATAAACTAGAACAACCATTTAATGTTCATTCTGCGAAAAGATTTGATATCAGCGTTCAAATCAAAGATTAATAAATTGTTAAACAAGGAATAGTTATAATTGATGGTGGAGCTGAAGAGTGAGAGAGAAAGAGAGAGAGAGAGAGAGAGATCTTACTGTCCACCCTCCACCCTCTGTCATCATGTCACAGAAGACGCTGACCTTGCTTTCAATACCAAATGGATAGATCTCATACACACCAGATTCTGTATTACCATTTACATAGAGGTCCTTGCAATCTTTATATTTGTGTGACTCTGAAAGAAAAAAGAAAAAAAATATATGGCTACCTACCTCTCTTATCTCTATATCACAGTACACGTGTACCTGACTCTTATTACCCAGGGGATCTTTGAGATTAACGCCAGAGAAATTGTGACTGTGTAAATAGTTATCGCGACAATTCGTATAATGTTTTAAACCTGAATTTAAGAGAAATACATTCATGATTATGCAATTATCATATCAATGAACATCCAGACAAACTTCAGAGAGAGAGAGAGAGAGAGAGAGAGAGAGAGAGAGAGAGAGAGAGAGAGAGAGAGAGAGAGAGAGAGAGAGAGAGAGAGAGATTTACCTTTCTTGACAATTCTAACATCTTCATGGGTCTTGTTTACATCTTCTTCAAGTTTCTTAACCATCCGCCTGAGGGAATCAACAGATTCTTGGATCCTCCCCTGCTGGATCACAAGTTCTCGAATCTGCATCATTGTCTCTCCATTACTGGCACAACGATCTTTCGAGTAAATGTACTGGGAACTTGTACATACGATGCCGGACAAAAGGAGCGCTGCCCACACCATTGCCATGATTTTACTACCTTGATCTTTTCTTAACGAAAGCGTTTCTGGAATAAAGTGTATTTTGAAAATATCAGCAGCTTTATATATGGTTCTTATCACGGAAGATTAAAATTTAACCAATAATATGTCATTGCCTTTAACCATTTAACGTCACTTAAATGTTATTCATGGAAAAACTGTTAAAGTCAGATAAACTTATTAAGCATGGATCACAGTCGTAATATCAGACAGGAGACTAGCTTTTACTCCATCTATTGCTTATTGAAAATAATTATTAGCTTTTCACAAGTTCACACAATTCAAAATAAACAAACAAATACAGTGTACACTTGATTTCTTAGTACCTTTTGTTCTTGTTACAAAACTGCACAGATTTCATCCCGTTTTTGTGTATGTTTATTCAGTTAAAGAGAGTCTTTTACCTCTTTCAAAAAAGTAAAAATATTAGATACCTTTAAGGGATATGGAGATAACGAACAGGAAACAAGATAAAATAAGAGCAGGGCAAACACAGACCTCCGAAGGTGGAATCAAGTGCCATGGAATGGAACTGGAACGCATTTTCAGGGAATGCAAATGTCTGTTTTTAGTCCAGCTTCAAAGAGTTTTATCAAATTTGCCTCTGTTAAGTAAGGAATTAATAGCCCTCCCCCTTCCCCACTTGATTAAAGAATATATTTGAATTTTTAGATGTCTCTATTTTAGAAAGCTTAATATTTATAGTCAAGATGTATAACCTTTTCTCTGTTTTATGTATTTTACTATTTCATAGAAATGTTGAAATATAAAACCTTAAGTGTGAAAGATTCATATATACGATCTAATGCAATTTTTCATTTAGAAAAAAATACTCATTAGCGATGTCTGCATTTCTTGACAGCTTTCCATCCTGACATTAGATAAAAAAAAATCAACAAAAAGTCGATCAAAACTTCTATCAAAAAAAAAAATCCCTGATAGAAGGATAAATATTTTTGATTTTCATTTTTGAATTTAACTAAATTTAAAATCATTAAAAAATACAAATTGTTGTATTAAAAAAATATCATAAAGACAACAAATTGTTTGTGATTTATCAATTACAGTCCATTTTTCATTTAAATGTCAACCATTGCAAACATTAGTTTTGAATTATTGTTATGATAAGCTTTTGATATTACGTACCACCGTCACATGCATTACTAGCAAGTAACCGTCAGCACCCTGAAGTGTTATTGTAATATAGAAGACGAAGATTACCAATTGATTTAGAGAGAAAATATGGGGAGGAGGTTGTTACAAGAAATATACTGTATACAGGCTTTTTTTCGCCCCATTTTATTTTCGCCCTTTTGCACTTGAGAACAATTTTGCCCCGCTTTAAATTCGCCCAGTCGTAGTTCTGTTTAAGAAATCATTCAGTTAAATTTGAATTCGCCCCGTTTTAAATTCGCCCAATCATGATTAGGGCGAAAGGGGCGAAAATAAAACGGGAACGAAAATTTCCATGTATATAGTAATACATTTTGCATATAAACTATATTTAATGAGCCATTGTCAAAGATAGAATATAAAAATAACAAGCAATAAATAAAAATACTGGGAAAACGTCATTGAAAAAAAATTAAAGACTTCTACCAAGCACGCTTGATTATTTCAAGAAAAGATGGGTTCAAAGCATCTTTTGTAGAAAATAAATGGAAATAACTAAAGTGGGGGTGGAAATTTTGTTGGTTGTATGCATTTCAACAAAAACTGTAGAAGTGAGCCCCATTGGTCTTTCAATTGAGATTCCTATGCACGTACAAAACTACTTCTAATGACCGTATGAACAGGGTCGGAGTGATACAGTCTTAGTATAGTGGAATCATAATGGTAGGAGTAACATGATACAAGTGATACAGCCCTAGCATAGTGAAAGCATAATGGTAGGAGTAACATGATACCAGTGCACATTTGCGAGATGCATTGACGGGTTACTTTGACATTTAAACCTGTACATTGTATGGAAGTACATTATTAATTATATATAGAAAGTGTATTATTGATTATAGATAAGAAAATCGTTTTAGTGGCCATGGGTATATATCATGTTTGGGAATTTACATGAAAATTTGGAGATAACGAACAGTATTCAAGATCAAAAGTTCATTAAACAATACAACATAGGAGAATAGCAAACATGGACTTCCAAACATTTGAGTGTAGAGTGTCGGATTCTTCGTTGGCAAAATATATGTGTTTTATTTCTGCGCGTTATTTTCGTTGAGCAAATGTCCAATTCAATATACATAAAACAGCAAGAAAATTTCAAGACTATAAACTTAGTAGTTTTATATCATGTATGGATTAAATTGTGTTAGAACTTCGGCTTTCAAAGGTTTTTTTTTCTCGGAAAATGCAGTATTCTTTAAAACATTTTGTACCGTCGGATGGATTTTTTTTTCCTTTTGAACACAATGAGTACATTTTGTGGTTTGTATGAAAACAGGGATCAGATCGGTCCCATGTCACGCGTACATATCTATGGTTCTTTGTTAAACTTTACCAAGGAGATTGATTTCATTTCAGATAAAAAAAATTCTCACGGAAAATAGAACCCATAACCGAATGAAGAAAGTCATTTATTTTAGTCATTTATTTTATAAATGATAATAACGGGAGTCATAAACATGTAACTGATGTAATAATACATATACGAGAGGTTATTAAAAAGTTCGTGGAATTCGGCTATAAAATTAGATCTATGTAGTTTATGCTTTCGAAATCGTTAAAGAACATAAAACAAAAAAAAATAAAGAATTGTTGAAAATCATTATATAAATATTTTGTAAATGGTAAGAGTCATAAACATGTAGCTGAGGTAGTAAAACATATAGACATGTAAAATAGCAACAACAAAGTCAAGACTATACTGTTTGTATTTTTTTAAAATATTAATTATGGATTAAAATGTGTCTGAAGTTCGGCTTTCAAAGTTTTCTTGGAAATAAGCAGTATTGTTTGGAAGTGAATCATTACCATGGGTTGGTAAATGATTCCTTCTGGGTACAATGAAGACATTTTGTAGCTTGTATAAAAACAGGAATCTAGATAAGCCTGGTGTCACGATTACATATCTATGGTTCTTTGTGAATATAACTTTTCAATAGAGATGAATTTTGATATCGGATATGAACAGGCAAAAATAGAATACTTATATAAGAATGAATGAATAATGTCATTTATTTTGTAAACGATGAAAGAGTAAATAAACAGACGGTCCTTCATGAATACATTACTGAGAAAATACATGTGGTACTGAGTGCAATCAGAACCCCCTGTTGTAAACAATATGATATAACATGCTTTCCAAAAAAAAGAAGACAGGATGCAGATGGCATAGACAGATTATTCAACACATATATCACAGATACATGACAGTTCAATTTCTGTAATCTCTTATTTCAATTTCTTTTTTATTTTATGTAATGCGTTTGAAAGACAACATTCTTTCACACACACCTTTCTCAGAATTGGGTAATAGAAGGCATTTCTGTACTTCAAATATTGCGATGATTCGATTGTCAATATATTTTGAAACATCTCTTCTCCCGCCCCGGAAAAGTTCCAACACCATACGAAAACAAAAGCACACCATTCCCTTAATTGTGGGAAAAAACGAAATAATTTTGAAATGTTTATTATTTTTGGCAGAAAAATATATTTCTATAATGAACACTTATACAGTATCACTAAACAAAACAGGAGAAAGTGACTCCAAAAATGTTCAAGGAAAATAATTTAATAAAAAAAAGCATTTAAGGAGGAGCAATATTCATGTCGATCTACTATGCGATATATGAAAAAAAAAAACAGCAAAAGTCCCGATTAAAACAATATTGTAACCCGTGATTTAAACACGAATGAATGACGTGTTCTAGTCCCTAAATTTCTTCTTTAATGGTTTTTGTTTTTTAAAACATTCTCTGTCTTTACGCTTAGATTTGTAAAATAATTCTTTTTAAGTCACTTTCTCTAGCACCATGTACGGAAAGTCGACAATTCACAAATATAGCGATGCATGTTCCAGGAAAAACATTTTGATTATTACATCAAATGAAACATGCGGAGATAACGAACAGTATATAAGATCCAAAGTACATACAACAATTCAAAAGAGGAGTAGAGTAAACAGAGACATCCAAAACATTTTAGAGTGGATCTGTTGCTCTGCTCCTGTTTTGAGTAGCTAGGGTATTGAAGTGGAGGGGGTTAAAAAGGAACGCAGTACTACATTTACATAAAATGAAGCAAATTAAATAAATAAAAACAGGGATGTAGTATCATTTTTGACTTAAGATAAAGATTAACAGAAAGTTTTTGACAACGGAAGGATCATAAATTTAAGAAACTGAAAAATTATTTTTTGTAAAGAGGTGTTGGTTGTAGTTCCAAATTGTTTGTGCAAACAAATTTCTCATATACAGGTGTTACAATGTCATAAGCTGTTCATTAGACAGTTTCTTCCGTTAAACAAAACAGACTTTTGCCCTTCTTTTTTCACCAAATCAAAAAGGAGGGAGGGGTCGCAACATACATAATTCTACTTCGCCACTGCCATAAGTATAGTTGACCACGGATTTTTTTCCGTTATATCCTGATTATGACAACGAGCACACGGCGGGTGTGACCGGTCGGCAGGGGATGCTCACTTCTCCATGGCACCTGATCCCACCTCTGATGTTTCGGAGGTCCGTGTTTGCTCTGCACTTATTTTGTATATTTGTTTAATGGACGTTGAAATTGAATACTGTTCGTTATTTCAATATCCTTCTTATAAAAGTTATTGCTTATTTTCACTGTTGTATGTAGAAAATTAAAGTTATTTGAACCATGCTATTCAGAATATTATTCAGAACTTAACTATTGCTCTTTGATAATTATTTTTATTTTATTTATCTTCCAAGAAAACTGTTTTGCTGAAAACAGGAAAGAATAAAACACTTGTACGAGAATGATTAATGCCATTTTTTGTAAATAATACACCACTCTTATTAACCGTATGACAATAACTATTTACACAAAACAGAAGACAGG